AGCTTTTAATACAGAACTGTGCCAAATGCCCTTAGACAATATGTCTGATAACTAGGGACCTAATGTGATAAAGTTTTCTTTTTATCAAACTGATAAGGAAATATCTCCATATCTCAGCAATCTCTCGTCTCTCTATCTGTTCTGCACTGTAGACTAGACTACACACCTTAGGCACCTGTCTATAGGACTGGAACGACATGCATCAGGAATATGAATATTGAACAGATCGACTGCTATTTACGCTATTTATTCGAATAATCCCTATATGCTATTTTGTGACGTACTGTGTGTGTTTCTAAAAATCCATTCAAAATCTAGCTACTTGATAAAAATGATAAAAAAAACCTTCCTTTGTTTCTGTTTCCTCATATTATAATCTAAGTAACATTGGAGAATGCCAATAATTCTTTCATTTCTGACCTCACAAATTCGGGAATGTCCAAAAGGACGCGGGGTTAGAGTTATAAACCGCAACACCACACCTCTAAAATGCCCATGTGAACCATGAAGAAGAAGCTCTAATGGGAGAAGTAGGTGCATTTCACTGACATCACTGCTAGCCGACAGATATAGGACAGCTTCCAGGAGCGTTTGCCTCAGCTCATCCTGCCTCAGCTGTGCTCAACCAGTTGTGCTTTCCTCATATTTCTTACACGTCACTTTCTAAACTCTATACACGGATACAATTAAGAATTGCTTGCAGAAAAGAAAGTGATACACAGTTGTGCTTCATCAGCACGTTCATTGGAAGTTGCACTATTTATTAACTTTATATAATTAATGATGATTTATAAGTGCTACATGTACTACAGTGTCAGATTTTACACCTTTGTCATACGTTTCCAGTTTTATAAAGTTAGAATCCTTGGCCAAACAGGATCAGCAGAGTAGGTTTTACTCAGCGATACCTAGTTGTTAGCAATGGTTAAGATTAGAACTTGTTAAAGGTTTGGTTTAAGCTCAAGGGAGAGATACATTTAGTTTTCTACACCCTCCACATACCGAAAGGGGGTTATGGTGATAAGCCCCAGAGGGGGTTGGGGATGTCTAGACTTCTGGCCTGTGGCTGACTGTGGAAGGGAGGGTGCTCCCATGTGGTACAGTATAAACCTTCTGGCCAGGGGATTTGAGCTCAAGGGTTCTCACTCAGCTATCTCCACATATGAAGGATTTACAGTATGTAACATCGTTGCAGCCCTTGAGCTTAGAGTGAACTGGTTGAGAGTTTGGGAGTCTTTATACTCTATGGAGATAGTAATGTGGAGCAGGCCACATGACCAGTAACCTGGGGAAAAGGCGGACTGGCCTCAGCATGGTACTGAGACTTTCCCCATGAGTAACCAGGTTCACTGTTATCTAGAATACCCTCTAGGATAATACCAGTTAACAACTGGTTACACTGACAGTTATGGATCCGGTCATACTGATGTATGGTTATAGAGTTTACTTTTTACAGGTTGCTAGTGTGTGGTTGCTAGGATTTTGGTTATGGTTGATGGCTATGGTTTAAACTTCCCTTAGGACCCTGTGAAGCTTGCGGTGTCACCGAGCACCATGTCTGATCCCAGAGTAAGCGTGCTCTGGGTTGTGTTTAGTAAACTTTGGGTTTCATTCTCCCAGAGCACTGAAGCAACAAGATTAGTGAGAAGGAAACCCATCCATAGTTCACTACAACTTCACAGTTCAAATTAACTGGGAAACTGAGAATTACTGGCTGCGGATAGCTGGTGAAAGGCTGCCATGGTGCTCATGTTGGTGACAAATAGTAACTCTGCTACAGGCCCCCAGTAGGATAACACTTCTTCTGGGTTTATAGGACCTTTAATTTGACTTATAAAGGAAGAGTGGTACAACCACATAACAGATTATTCTGATAAAAAAAGGACCGGATACCTATATCTGGGAATCTGGTACACCTTTAGTTCTGGTGTCAGGGTATCATTTTGTCTGTTCTCTCACTTATTACAGTAAATGCCTGGCTAAATGCATACTTTGCCTGTTTGTACCATTGTGATTGTTCTCTTGAGTCTTAATCAGCTGCAATCAGTCACTGATAATAGGCTTTGTTTGGAGATATAGCACTTAAAAGGTCAAATGAAGCAAATGGATAACTCTACAAAGTTTCTAGTCAAATAACAGAGAATGTCTGATCTTGACATCTATCTAAAAGACTGGGCGAATATGAAGGTCAAGAGGTTTGTTTTGTGGATGGGATGTGTTTGTTCCCTATAGGTCTCCGAACACCAGACACAGAGTAACAAGTGAGAATGTGCCTCATGACAGAACTGCAGCACTGATGATTCTGAGAAGAACCTATAGCACTGCAGATACTGTCCTCTGGACAGCCCAGGAGTGACACAGCCTCTGTTCCTCCGGTAAAACCTCAGCTCGCATAAACAAACACCCCCACACATTTATTTTTATAAATATAGGGAGACCTGAGAAAGCTATGCCCATATAACATATCCCAATGTTTATAAACAGCATTGTGCAAAATAACATACACCTACGTAAATGCTTGTTCAAAGAAACACATTCTGGTCTTTAGAGAGAAGTGTTCTTTATGCTATGTCCCCTGTCATCCCTGACCTTGTTAAACTCTGTAGTGCTGCTAACCAGTGCTGCCTTTGAAGTAATGAGTAGATTTCAAAGACACTGAATGTATTTTGACAATTTACAGCAGAGATGGAGCCGACAGTTGATTTGGCTAAAAAGGGCTCTTGTCATGAGGAGAAATCAGAGGTGTTACTGGAATATTTTCATCTGATGTCAATCCAAGAAAGTAGTTAAAGAGTAAGGAGAAAATGGCACTGGCTCCTGGGAGAGTTTGTCCATGCTATGGAATGAGGTTCAGCCACAACTAAGCAAGTTTTATATGTCACCCTTTAATGGTCTGTTTGTAAAGACTTGAACCACATGTCCTGATTGATTTACTAAACTCATTGGTTAAAGTAAGTAAAACAATGGGCAGCTGTGGTCCTTGAGAGAAATAGGGTATTTTTCTTTTCATTTCATAATACTCTGAACTTATGCTTGAACAAATCACCTGACGAAATGGTCAAAATCAATGGATCCAGCTATTTACAAGTTTATGATATAAGGGTGAGGGGCATACAGTAACTATCAGGCACAACCTTTAATTTAATTCTATAAAAATTCAGAATAATTAATAAGTTAATATTTTTTTAAACTCCCATTATATACTGTATGTGTCACTACGCTGAAAAGTACTGTGAAATACCCAGCACCATAATGGCAGAGTTCATTGTCCCTGGTGTTCAGACTGGTTATGCAGTTGTGAGCCAACTCAGCAGCAATTTGGTGAATTCACATTAAATTGCATAAGAAAAAATAGTGCAGATTTCAGCTTAAAAATACAGCATGTGAGCAAAATAAAATGGTATGTTAGATATGGCAAGCTGCTCTATAAACATTTGTTCTACATTAAAACATAGCAACACATGGTAGAATAGGAGTCAAGGTAATTTCTGGTAGTGTGACTAGTAGATATGTGAACATGATATCCAGAGTGTTACTCATGTTGTACAGTACCAAAGATCTAAAAAACAGAAACACAGTCGGAGTCCAGCTTTACTGTGACAGATCACATTAGCTTAACATTTTCAAAAGCTTCACTAGCTCCCTAACTGTAATGTACAAAAGAAAACAAATGACATTCCTCATTCCACTTTGCTCCAAAATCCCTAAACAGATGATGTAAGGAAGTGTCTGCAGACAAGGGACATGTGTGAGGGGAGATCCATCTTAGCACCCCACCAGCACTCGCAGATCTGCATCCTGTCACTGCAGAACTAACTGAGGGAGACACATGAAGGCCAGCCACCTAGGGTCACCTCTCTTGTGCGAGCATGCAAGCAGTTCTGTTTCTGCTTAAATCAGTAAAAACACAAAAAACATCAAACCAATGTACACCCCAAAGCTATTCTGTTTTGAAGGACATTCAATATCCACACATCAGCAAAGTCTCTCTCAAGGGGCAGTAAGGATGAAAACAAAGGACCAACCATAAATGTATTGGCAAGCAGAGTTTAACACAAAGAGAGTTTTGCAGAGCTTTTTCAAATTTACAGTATTCATGTGAGTTTTTGCCATGCCTTTTTGGAAATGTAAAGTACGTATTTATGACTAATTAGCTTTTTGCATTTGAAAAGATCCTCCTTCATAGCAGATATCATGAGGTTAGCCCATGTCTTGAGTAGATATCGCCATTGTACCTTCTTATTAAGAAAACATAGAAAATTATCCCAAAAACTCTCATGTGGTACTGCAGCTGGCATATATTCTGTTGGTTGGTAAAGTAGCCCCTGGTGTACAGTTTTATAAAACATTTTTCATACTGGCTTAAAAATGAAATCTCATTAGGCATTAAAGGATTCCACACTGCTGTGCACATGACACAACTAATGAACATTTGTCAGACATGGTTATTTATGATTAGACAGGAAGTAAGAACAGGGGACCCTGCTCCCCTCAGTAATAGAAATGTAAAAGCCAGGCTGAAAGGTACTTGACCCACTAAGTCATTCTTGTCAAATCCACCAGCCTCTGCTAAACCCTTCTTGACTGGATGGGCCAATGCTGTCAGGGAAGCAGATCCAAACTACCCAGGCAGGCAGATTAATAATTGCTAATAACTGGTTTGACCACTTAGACAGATGAGTCCATCAATCAAGTAGTTCAGTGATCCTCTGGAATGAAAAGAACATCACCATGTTGCACTTAAAATACCAACGTTTGCCATTCCTGATTTAAAAGAACCAGTTATATTGCTGAATGAAAAGGTTGTCACACTGCTGATTTCTCCTCTCCATAAGAGCCCCCTTCTGCCTAATCAATTGTCAGCCGCAACACTGTTGTAAGTCCTAATCACACATTACATACAGTATCTCTGTATCTCTACAATTTTAGGTGATCTGTAAGACATGAAGAACAGGATCGGCCACAGAAGGAGCATATCCTTTTTAAATGAATATATTTCATCTAGGGGCTGTGGGGTGCCATGGAGGGTGCCCAGGACTAATGGCTGCCAGGGAAGTCTGAAGAGATCACAGAGTGCCATGGGTTACCATCTCAGGTATTTATCTGCTGATTTTCAAGTACATCTCCCCCAGAACATTTTCAGCATTCAAGGTGATATTGTGCTTAAAACGAATCCACTGAATAGAAGTGATTCTGTTTACTCTTGTGCCTCAGTAGTGGAAATAAATAACTGAAAACTGATTAAATATGAAAAAAAAACAAGGTGAAAAGTGAAAAGAGGCAATTGTCAGTTGTCAGAAAGACAGTTTCTTTCCCTCTGGAGTAACTCAGCCAACATGTTTAATGAGGTTCACGATGTTCCCAGACCATGACATCTCAGCATAGAGTTTAATAAACATAAATATTGACTGTAATCTTCAAACAATGAAAAAGAGACTGAGCCAAAGGAAAGCATTTGGCCACCATCAAAAGCAGAAATGTAAAAGGCATTGGACATTATTGGTTGCTTTGTTCTGAACCTGAACTTTGGGTAATTTATTCAGGAGTTTCCTTGCTACAGATGTCATTCATTTTATTTCACAGTAACAAAAATCATTTTAAAGCTTTATTGTTCCTGAAAAAAGCTGAAAGGTTTTGCCATATTTTCAAGTGTTGCTCTTATAAATACATTTCTTCATTTCTGTCTGAATTCAGAAAGCTTGAATTTACAGCTTCCTCCAGTTCAGCTTTTCCATGCCTGATATCTGAAATAGTATATAAATGTTAATTTGCACTTTTAAACTGTAAATTGTTTTAAATCTTAATTCTGTACATACCTTTATATTTCATGTTCTTGCAAATTAGCATAAGCCATAAGGAATTAGATTTATTGTGTTCATATTGTACATGGTTCTTATTCAGCATACTTCAGTATTCGTTGTCCAGGGGTCAACTATTTGTAGAGCATCTTGCTCAAAATGACTTTCCTTGCTTTTAACTCCACTGGTTCATAAAGAAAATGGGTTGCCAGTTTGACTGTATAACAATGTTTTCAGGCAGCACAGGGTTTTTTTTTATTGATCGTTGTATTAATTGTCATTATATCTTATTAAGATGATTAAAGCAACAATAGTCCATTTAGCAAAAATGTATTTGAAATATCATTAACTTTGCTTAATGACCATTTTAAAAACCTATCCTGTCTAAAAAGTGGCCTGCTAATGATTACTCCATATAGTGCCATAAATAGTCACTTGAGCACATGTACACATGGGAAATACTCTGCACTGCTTTTACTGCAGAGACAGGGAAGAGAGCAGAGCCTCCTTGCGTCCTTTGATACTGGTGTAAAACTGACTTGACTGCTATTCAGGGATAAGGGAAGAAGTCAGCAGGGAGAGCTCTGTCTGACCATAGCTTTCTGTCCTGAGTTATCCCCACACACAAACAAGGATCGGAGGTGAAAGGCATGAGGAGACAAACGCTAATTGTCCTATATTTGCCTCAGCCCTTTTCTGAAGCGTTTTATTTATGCAGACACCACTCTGATGCACAGTACAGATATAAATAGGTAAACATGCCATCGCCTTCCTAAGCTGGCGATAACTGTCTGGCATGCTTACCAACTCACATCCAGGATTTAATGGAGTTTCCTGCTCTGGCAGATAAGCTGTTGTGGTTAGCAATCTTTCATTTCCTCTGGCATTGTTCTTTAAATGCTTATAGAATGAGATTCTGCATTGTCTCGCTCTTTCAAAAAGAGATTTCTGTTCTGTTCTTCAGGATTCTTATACAGTTTTATTATGCAGTGCATGTATTGTTCAGCACAAAACAGCCTAACCCAAGCTGATATGTGCAGTATATGATTTACATATATATTTATATTTACATAGAAATATTCTATACCAATCAAGCAACTCAATTCACATATGAGAAGAAATTGCCAAATTTAATGAAAATCCATCCTTGTATCCTTATTTTCTGCTAGACCTATCTGCTTAAAGAAGAATTGATTCAGTTTTACTGACCCTGAATTAATAGAAAAACTGGTTTTTCAAGTGTCTTGTCCAGTAAAGATATTCCTATGGAGTGCAGGATGAACCCTTGTTTGAGCCTCCTGTAGAGAATACATTTTGGTTTGTCTTGACTATCTTAATTAACATTTATTAGCTGACTTCTAAACTGGGCTTCTTCAGCAGTGATACAACACTGATAAATACAGTTACAGTCATCCATCTCTCAACTCTAGTATTATAAGGACATGTTTTTATAACATGTTTTCTGTGAGCAAAACATCTAAGAAAAGTATGTCTAGTAAACAAAGTCAACAGAAGCACAATTCTTTTTAAACAGAATTGGGTGGAATAAGGTGACTGAACGTGTTCAAAATAGTCCTTAAATGCTTGAAGTTCTGACTTATCCTGGAAATTTCTGTGAGTGTTTTAAAATCTGTTATGATTTGATAGCTAATCAATATAAATCCTGAGCCTATGGAAGTAAAGGTCAGCAAATACAAAAACCCTTTTTGCTGCTTCTGTTATCATAGGGATTAAAAAGCTGGGGACACCATAATCAAAACATGAGAAGAAAAGAGTTAAAAAGCCAAAGCCATATCATTGATCATTTCCTCCTATGCATTATGCATTACTAGCAAAGAGAGATGTTTCTGGGGGTTTATATTTGAACACTCACCATTTATTAACAAAGTTCAAGAAGGTAGCTGCGTCAGCATGCATAGGCTGCAAAGGTTTTCACTTGGGTTGACTTTGTTAACAGATGCTGAAAAAAAAAGATACAACGTTTTGGCTGTGGAGCTTTCTTCAGGTGTCAGTTGTCTTCAGGTAGGCTACAGAACTGAAACATTGTCTCTTTTTTTTCAGCATTTATTAAAGTCACCCCAAGTGACTAATTGTGGCTCTACAATAAAGGAAGATTCTAGGCTTCCATGTGGGAATGAAGTGAAGATTTAAAGTAAAAATAACTTCTTTAGATCTCTAATGTGACCGTTGTGGCCCCGGGAGGACTCATGCCCTCTGCGACTCCACCCCGCCAGGTTCATCCCACAATACCTGGGGCGTGAACCCGGGCCTCCGGCATAACGCAACAGGGAGCCAGCCACATGAGCTAAATGTGACCTCCCCCAGCCTAGGCAGCTGAGGTACCTGCTGCGTGCGGGGAGGGTGATGACATCGCCATGTCCGAACTAGCTCCGCTACACTAATGCTACTACCTAGTTCCTATGTTCCTTGAGGCCCCCAAGATCCTTCATAGAAATGGACAGAAAACCTATTAAATTAGTTCCAGAGCAACTGAATATGCTAAATAACCTCTAAAATCTGTAATTATTTACAGGCTTCAGTAACTTAACCATCAAAGAATACTTCATAAATCTCCGAGCTCCTACTTCCACCAGAAAAAAATTAGCACGAATGTGATGAAACATTGCAGTGAAAATTATTATTTCTAAAGGTCAGTATCTATAGCAGCTTGCATGTAGAGCCTGGCAATGGAAAATCTTTAGTTCAATAAGAACAGACATCATAATCCCGAGCAGTCCCAGCAGCTCATTAAAGGAATGGGACACAAGCTGAGTAGAACATTATTAGCTTGAAAGGATGCTCTCCCACCACATCAGTGCTCTGACACACTTAGCTGTGAAACCCTCAGGAAATCAATACAAATTGAATCTCTCTTCCACTGGAGTCCTTGGCATGAATTTTACATGAAGCTGAAGCTCATCAATAAACTGAAGAGATGTTCAGGTGATGGCTTGATCAGTCTGTTTAGTCAGGTGTTGCAGTGGCATGGTGGTGACTAGTAACTTAGTTCAGGGTTATGGGTTTGATTCCACCCTGTGGAACAATCCCACGTGGAGTTTGTCTTCTCTCCCCCTATGGAGTTTCTCCATGTGTTCCAGAAACCTCCAACTGTATCTCCCAAAGACAGTTTAGATTTGTTTGGCTACTCTAAGTTGTCTCTTTCCATGGAGGCTTCGAGAGAATTCTTACACTGGGGGGTTTGTTCACAGCACAGCCACTACAATCTATGGGATTGTAGAAATAGAGAACTAAGCAGGTCCTCTTACCTACTGTTCTGAGTTCGAAACTATGGTCCTGAGGACAGTCCTCTGGTCTGAAGGTGAAGCACAGAGCCCTCTACACTCTGGCTTCCTTTGTTACAGTGTCTGTCAAAGGACATTTTCATAAGGAACAGACTGCACACAATCAAGGGGAATTGTTTTAGCTGCAGAAAATGCTTCCATCACTTAAACAGCTATTGGTGTTTCCTGCAACTGCCTAGGTAACGTCTTCAATTATTTAATAGGACAGTGACAAACATAACACAATGGATACCCCTCCAACAGACCATTTTGGAGTTGTTATTACAATATGTTGGTGAACAACACAGTTCTACACTCACTGGCTTAGTTATTGGCAGAAACCTGCTGGAATTAAAAGCACCATTTTTGTATGAACACAAGTTTAACCACATCTTTAACTAGACTACTTTAGACTGACATGTATACTCTTATGAATTCTTGTGCTGTATTCTGTTATCCAGCCTTGCAAGATCTCTCTCAAGGCTGAAACTCCATGAAAAGGCCTCGTCTCTGTTTAGAAATCACTTCTGCTTATCTCTCTTGGAACAGAACAAAATGACTAGCTTGAAGACTAAACTCAATGTGCCAAGAATCTCAATTTTCCACTTAAATGTCAGGGAAATTATACAAAAGAGCAGTAATGTTGCTTTACTGGTCATCATTGTAAGCAAAACTAATTAATTTAACACCTTGGAAAATGGAATCTTCATGAGTCTCAACCACATAAATTAAAAAACAAAACAAATAAAGTTAGAAATTAGAAACTAAAAAAAGAAATTTGACATTTGAATTGAAAAATATTCAATTAAGGTATCAAAGCATTTAAAAAACATTTATCAGTTTCTGCAGTTTGACCTGCTGAATGAATTCATGGTAGATTGTATACATAATTGTAATTTCTAATTCTAAATTACATTTTTATTTTTGAGCCAAATGAAAGGCATTGTAATATTTTAAAATGCTTCCCTCAGTATTGTTTTATTAACATGCAGAAAAGGAGAAACAGTGCTGTGAGA